CCGCCCCGGCTGCCCCAGAGAACAGAGAGAGCAAAGCAGCTTTGTCCACCGCAGGGGCCGTGGGGTTGCATTGAGATGTGTGCGCGCGTGTGTGTCGAAACGAGGTCGTCTTTTGTTTTGAGAGGTCCGGTCTGGAGAGGAGCGCGCGCGCGCGGCGCCCGCGGGAGGCTGGGCCGCTTATTTGGCGGCCGCTCCGCGCGGGCGCATGGCTGCGCGAGCGCCCGCGACGCGCGGCGGTTGCGCGCCGGGCAGGCAGGGTGTCTTGGTATTGGGGCCGGCGGCTTTTGCATACCCCCCGCCTCCCCCCATTCGTTTCGTGGCTGGCTGTTTGTTTTGGCACCCTTGCCTCTGTGCGCGGCCTGCCTCCGCGGCGCGATCTGCACGCGGGCAGGCGGCGACCATTCGCGTCGCAACGCGGGGTGCGGGAGGGAGGGCGGGGTTGTGGGCCCTCCCCTGTCCTCTCATCGCAGTCGGCAGACATTGAAATGGGATAAGCATTCAGCCGATCGCCTTGACCCTGGAAGCACGCCGCCCAATCGAGGTGGATGCAGCGTTTCAAAGCCCAGCCAGAGCCCGGCACCCTGCACTATGCGGCTGCCTCTGGCGGCGCACCGTGCTGGGGGCGTTGTGCTGCTCTCTGTTGTGCTGGCGCGCCGTGCTTTCGGGAGTCTGGCTTCTTCTTAGCCCCTGCGTCGGCTTGATATGAGTTGCAAAAGAGAATATTACCATTCAGACAGGTTGTAAAGAAGAGCTCGCATCACTTATGCTTACACAGCTGGCACCATGTGCGAGACGATCGTAGTGCTACCAAAAAGGATCTAATTATGGGATCGGCCCAGTCACAGGAGTGCAAAACCCATGGGTCAAAGCGTCCAGGGGATCTTCCAAGGCATGTCAGGTTTTGGAGGGCTGAGGCAGGGGAAGGCCTTGCCATGCTCGGGATGGCCGCTGATTAGGACGCTCGGTCACACGGGGCAAACGCGGCAGCCTGGGGCTGCATCGGGGCGCCGCTCTGCACCCTGAGGGGCCAGGGCTGCCCCCCCCTGCACAAAATCGAGGGCGGGTGCCGCTTGGGGTCGCAGCGGAGGCCTGTGGCCCGCGCCGCAATGCCGCAATGCCGCAATGCCGCAATGCCGCAATGCCGCAACGCCGCAATGCCACACTGACACACTGTCTGTGGCCCCGCAGCTGGAACCTGGGTGCCGCGCGCCTGCTGCGCGGGGCACTCGCACACGCTCTGCGTAGAAGCGTGGCAACCCTGGGTCCATCACAAGTCTTGGTCTGTCACAGCAGGCCCGAGTAGCAGAGGGTCAATGGGGGGCACCCGCCAACTCTTGGTGGCCTGGTTTGGCCCAGCCACGCTCCTGCCATCGATGTTTCACAGTCCACGCCAAGCGCCAATGGTGGTTCACCAAGTGACTTATTCACCTGATGGCACTATCATAATTTCGTCAGGTAAATGTGTACAAACCGGCATGGAGCTGCTGGGTGTTTTCAAGCGTCAGGCGGCGAGGAAATGCTGCCGTTTCCAGCGCTGCCTCGCCGCGCTTTCCAGCACACGCACCTGCGGCAAATGAATGATTGACCTCAATACATAGAGGTTATAGAGGTGTACACACCTTCTTGACGACGGGACATCGACTGATCTTTTCATCAGCCTCTTCGTTTGTCCACGACAGTCGCGTTCATGGCACCCCGCTCCGGTCATTGGACGGTCTGGGTGACACTGTTAATGCTCCTGGTTGCAGCAGCGGCCTCTAGGCCGCTCGAGCAGGACCTGGGCGCCACTCCCAGGTGCAGACCAGCATGCATGAGATGAGCAAAGGGTCGCGCTGCAGCAGCTTGGAGCATGCTGTGACTGCGCCCTCAGGAATGCGCGCATAGCAATTGTTTGATTCTCAGCTCCTTTCAGCGGCTGGCTGGAGCCGCCGCGTGGGCCCTTCCACATCAGCCGCTCTCGGTCGAGGCACTCTGACTCTAGGCACCCGCCACCCACCGATAAACACCCCTGCTGTCGCATTGCTTCCCGTGGCAGCCTTGGTGCCTTGCCTTGCATGGCCTCGAGAATGCTGGGAGAGAACGTCTGGCCCTTAGGCCCACCGTGAGTACTCCGTATCCGCTGCTCAATCACATCAGACGCCTTGCCGCGGGCGCCGCCCAGCCGCGCGGCCACTTTGCAGCCCCTGCGCCCGCCCGCGACCCAGGCCCTCGCCCCGCGCCGCCGTCCCCCGCCGACCGGCCCCGTCCCGTCCCTGCGCTCTTGCGGCGGCAGGACGCCCGCGCAGCAGCTCGCGGCGAATCTGCGCGTCCAAGCGGCGGCGCCGTTCCAAGCGCGGCCAGCGTTCAACCAGCAGTACCGTCCGTACTACCGCTTTCCGCTCTGACGCCGCTAGCATGACGTCGCATGACGTCATCGCGGGGCCAGGCCTGGCCGCCTCCTGGCTGATCTCCAGTTGCCTTCATGCGTTTGGGTCAGAACTGGGCCCGCATGTCAGCACTGCGGCTGCACAAAGAAAACACAACCCCCTGATGGTGTGCATCAAGGCGCTCCCCCAACACCGCGGGGCGTACCGAATGAATTCGCTGCTGTGGTTTTGGTGCTCAAAATCGACATGGCCGCAGACTCTGTGCATCGCCCAGCCTCAGGGCGTACCGCACACAACCCAAACCCCCAAGGATGCAGTAACCCCTGCCTGCTGTCTGCAAATCGATGTACCAAATCGATGTACCAAACGCCCCGCACCCTGCGCGGCCATCGCCCGCCCGTGAAGGTGCAATCCGCTGCATGGTGCTGCAGCCCACTTGTTTCGTTGCTGGTGTGCACCGCGTACGCGCCCCGCGCACACCTCTTGGCAGCTCTGCAGCAGCTCTGCAGCAGCTCTGCTTGATCCCTTGGAGTCATTTCATAGCTTCACGCCCCTCCATTCGCAGGCGAGGCAGGGGCCTGGGGCAGGAAGGAGCCCTGTAATGTGTCGCTGTCGAGGCTGTTCAAGGCGTCGCATCACGTTGGCCCAGAACTCAGGTCATCTACCAGCATGCAGCGGTCCCTTTCGCCTCATGCGCTTGACTGGGACCTGCTGCGCTGCCCCCTTGACAAGTATCAACTCGCACACGGTGCTGCTCGGTGTCTTCTGGTCTTGCTGCCGTCAAGGTCTGTCCGTAGCTACCTTTTGACCCCAACAAAGATGGATGACAACTGTCTAATTACTCATTGGGTGCTGCGTCGGTGCTTGTGCAGCACTGCAGCGAATGGGGCCCGCTGTCCGGCCGACCAACAGGGGGCAAAGAAAGGTTTGCCAAAAGCCACGCCGCCGCCGACGGGCAAAGATCCAACTGAGACGCTTTTGGCGCGGCCTCGCCGCTGCGCAAAACTGTGCGGTGAGGGGTGCTTGCACTCGCCGGCTGCGTAATCAGCCGTGCTCCGGTGAAAAAGGGCCATCCGCTGCGTGCAGCGCGGCCAGGAGAGCTTCTGACTGCAGCAAGCTGCTGTGAAAGGGCAGCGCAAAGCACTGCCATCTTGAGTATCGGGCTAAAGCTACAAAGGCTGACGCTAGCCGCGGAGAGGGCTGCTGGGCACAGAAGTGCAGCGCCTCGACAATGTGTCATGCTACCAGAGATAAAAGACACAGGGCGTTGGCAAGGCAGCATTGGGCAGGTGAGCGGTGCAATGAAGCCAGCAGCCGACAGAAGCTGGAGAGATGTCCGACAGGGCCCTCTAGCTGAAAGTGGCAGGGAAAAGCTGCGATCGAGGAGACCCCGATGCATGGGACGACAATAGTGTACGCTGTAAACGAGGGTGCGCCGGCTCGCGGCGGCCCAAAAAGCGCGCCCAGTTTCAGGGCGCCTGCTGGTGCGGCGGGGGCGCCGCGCGCTCAGCACTCAACGCCAAACTGCTGCCGCAACAAGACCTCGGCGGCGGCCGCGCTCACGCCCTTGGTCAGGGCCGAGCCCTCGCGCCCCTCCACGCGGACGCGCACGCACGGCCCGCGGCCGCACTTGCCCATGCACTTTGAGGGCGCCACCTCCACGCCCGACCCTGCCGCCGCGGCACGAGCCGCGGCGAGCGTCTCGTTCGCGCCCTGCGCGCAGCACTTGCGGCCGGTGCACACGGACACGTGGCCGGCAGCCGCGAGCCGCGGCGCGGTGGCCGGCTGCAGCGCGTCGCAGTCCAAGTTCGGGACCAACAGGTCCACCAGCGCCCCAGCGGCAGTCCGGACTGTGAGCTGGTCTGCGTCCTGCCGCCGCCGGACGCCGCTGGCGGCTCTGCTGCTGCTGCTGCAGGCGGCAGTGGTGACAAGACTGCTGCTGCTGCTGGGGCCGGCTGCAGCGCTGGTGGTGGTGGTGCTGCTGCTGCTGCTGCTGGGGCTGCCGCTGCCTGTGGCAGAGGCAGCCGCGAGGGCGCGCTCAAGTGATTGGAGCTGCTCGCGCATCTGCAACCACGCGCCGGCCGAGGGAGCCAGCTCTGATGTGATTTGCCTGAAAATACATTTAGGAGAGTGTGGCGGCGAGAGGGTCAGTGGGTGCTGGGTGGACGTCGGGCGTGGACGGGCGGTTGTGGTGGGCAGCTGCATGTGGGTGTTGCGGCTGGGATGACTGGGACCAGCTGTTGCGGCGATCGACGGCCGCACGGCCCTGCAACACCCCGCAGCCACATGATGTGATCCGAGAACAACACCAAGCTCGATCCAGAGAGGTGCAATCATAAATGCCACACGCCAGGGCCAGGCAAAATTCTCACCTGAGCTCTGACACCACGGGCTGTAGGTCAGCGGCTGACGTCGCACCACTGCTGACCAAATGCTCCAGCCGCTGGCGGTGCGTCCGCAGCAACCGGCTGTAAAAGTGGTGTGCAGCATTCTCTGCGCGCGGCAGCGCGGATGGCCGCGGCGCCGCAGGGCGCCGCCCAGCGTGCGCACGCGTCCGCTCGGCACACGCCGGCAGTGCAGGCGGAGCCCTGCCAGCGGCCACGGGGGCTGCGTGACGGGCTGCCATAGTACTTAAACAGATATATTGATTTTTTAGGCCCGTGCGGTGGGGCCGATAGTCCTCGAGTACAGAAGAGCACACTTCGCGCGTGTTGCTTTTGCCGATGAGTGCGAGCTGTTTAAGCTCGCGAGCAGCAACCGCAACAATTGATATCCAAATCGAATGCCTGGAACGCTGCGGGGGCTGCGGTAAAGTTTTTGACATGGGCGTGTGCCGCGCGGTGGGCGGCGTGCGCCGATGAGTGAGAGAGTGAGGAGAGCAGGATGTGTGATATGAATCCGGGAGAGTAAGGGTGTTACATCTGAAAAATCTACGAGATACCTTTGCTACATGCACAGGGTCAACAGTCTCTAGGACAACGGCGGCAGTCCAAAACCGCCCCAGCCTATTGATCCCCCTACCCTCAACAGCATCCTTAGTCTGGCGTCAAGGGGTTCCCAGAGATGGCGCGGAAACGCCGCCAGAGTGCCTCATGCACTCTCGTGGATTCATGCGTGGCTGTCTAGCAATCCAGGCAGCGAATATCATCTCGACCGGTTCTCAGGGGGCCTGTCAGCGTTGCTTGCAATGTGCCGCCGCCATATCTGTCTGCCCCACGAGCTGCCACAGCCAGCCAGCTCCTCACTCGCCCTTGCGACACTGCCTCGCAGCTGGGAGAGCAGCATACACGAAAGCACTCGTCGCAGAGGCCCCATGCGGTCCCTCACTTATTCATCCCTGCCCTGGCTGCGGGCCCTGTGCATGGCAAGAGCCCTGAACTCTGAACCCTCAACCCTGAGCTACGTCTTTCCAGCTGCGCTCTTGAACTCACAGACGGATTACCCTGTCAGTGCGGCCCCCCCTTTCTCTCAAGCTGCCATAATCCAAAGCTCTCACATGCTCGATGCATCATGCAGCAGAGCGGCGGCCTTGCAGAGTCCAGGGCACAGGCCCGCAAGACTAATGTGTTTCCGCGCCAACAGCAACTGCACCCTCAGAAAACAACAGGGCTGCATCCAACCAAGGCCGCCACACCGGCTGGTGGCCGGAAAACCGCCACATGCTAGGCCCGCGCCAAACGCAACAGAGCCCAAGCAGCTCTTCCAAAACCAAGGTGCGAGACGACCCGGTTCCCTGACCCCTCTTGGCCAGCGGCACATGCAACGGGTGCGGCGCAAATGCGAGCCGTCACTGCTGGGGGGCCGCGCCCCTCGCGGCGCGTGTCATCTCCACGATCACATCCTTGACAGCCTTGCGGTCCTCGGCAGGCCTTTGTGTGTGAGTGTGCGCATGTGTGCGTGTGAGTGTGTGTGTGTGTGTGTGTGTGTGTGTATGAGTGTGAGATAGCTCGTGTGCTGGCGTGTTCAAACCAATTGATTTCCTGCATGAGACCCTGAGCCAACAGGCGCACATGTGGGCATGTTGCACATGCCCACATATGCAACATGCAGGAGCGAGCTTGCGCCTCAAACCAGGAGCACGCGGCAGCACTGCTTCCTACACAAAGGGCAGCATCACGCCCTAGGGAGGGCCGGCCAGCTGTCCCCTGGTTCCACTGCCCGCCTGTACGCCTCGCTCGCCGCACCTGACAAATGGCAGGCGGACCTTGAAGCTTTGCTCGCCCTCCTGCTGAGTCACCTGTGGGGGAATTCCGCGGGCGGGGCATGGCAAAATTGCATGGAGGATCGTCTCAGGCCGCCAGTACACTGCAAACATGGTTGCTCGCGCGTCCTACATCACACAAGGGCCGCCGCCTGTGTCCTGGTGCATGTGTCAACACAGCGGCCTTGGGACCGCCAGGCAGGTGACTAGACAAATCACACGGCACGCTCTGAAAAGAGGTATACACGCCATCCGAGCAATGCGCGGAGCAACGTCGAACGACAACGAGCTAGAGAAGCTTCTGAAACATCCATATAGATGGCGCAGGGGGGCGGGGGGGGGGGGGCGGAAACTGCCCACCTGCAGGTTGAAGCCCAGGCGATCCAGATCAAGCATCTTGGCCTTGACAGCGCTGAGGCCTGTGTAATGCTTCACCATTGCTAGGATATCACCCTCGTGGTCTGCAGGTAGTTGGAATCGGTTGGAGTCGGTTGGAGTCATTTTGAAGCAGTTTTGAGGCGGTTGGGACGCAGCCCGTGGTCAGTGTCAAGGGCCTTGGTATGAGATGGGCTGTGTGGAAATTGTCGGGCCCCTGCAGAGGCCAGGAAAATGGGCTTGCGCTGCTGGCGGAAACAGGGAAAGTGAGAGAAGCCAGGAAACGCGCACATGCAACTCTGCTGGGGTGGGCCGATTGCCCGACCGCTCACCAGCATTCATGTGGCCGCAGACGGGGCCGGCAAACTGCGAAATCGGGTCAGGCTTCGCCGCCTGGTAGTCTTCCGCGGAGATCTGCGTGGGCGCGGGCAGGAGGCAGGCAGGGGCACGCCGCAGCCACGACGATCAGCCACCGGCAACTAGAGTATGCGACATGCGCGTCGCGCGGCGCGGCGTCCAGCGTTGCGACGCCATTTCGGACATATTGAGCGGGTGGTTGGGGTCAAGCGTGCAGAGGCGGCGGCGCGGCCCTGTACCAGCCCTGTAGCAGCCGCACCGTTGCGATGCGGCCAAAGCCACCGATGAAGCGGCCGCCCTTGATCTCCTCAAGCCTGAACCACCTGAAGTCCCCAAAGTCCACGTAGAACGCCTGCGGCCAGGGAGCATAAATCGAGGACCCCGTCAGGGCCGAAGGCAGGCACGCATGTGGCCAGCGGGAGGGGGGCGCACACCAAGGCGCTGGATCTTGGTTTTGACGCGTTGGCGCATTGTACACCCTCAATAGCCATTCATCACTCATATTCGCGAGCCGCAGCCTGCGCTCTCCGTTTGCATCACCCGTTCCACAACGACGCTTGCGGCGAAAAGGTGCACAGCAGCTGCCTGGCAGCTGCCGAGCGGCATTCCGTCGGGTTCTCACCGACGGGTACTTGGCAAGGAAGGTCTCCCGGACTGCTGCGCGCTCAGAGTCCGGCAGCTGCACCGCCTTGCCGGCCAGCGTGAAGCGAGCGTCCTGCAGGCTCTGTGCGGGGTGAGAATGGATGCGTGTGTGCATGTGTGCGTGTGCGTGTGTGTGTGTGTGCGCATGTGTGTGAGTGCGCGCACGCGTGTGTGTGTGTGTGTGTGTGTGTGTGTGTGTGTGTGTGTGTGTGTGTGTGTGTGTGTGTGTGTGTGCGTGTGTGCACGCGCGTGTGCGTGTGCACGCCTCAGCATTTGTGTGCGCCCAACGCTCATGCGTTGCACATTAGCAACAGTTCACAGGTCCCCTTCTTAGACCACTCTCCCAAGACTGCGTGCGCGCCGTATGCACAGCAGGCAACCTCTCCAGCCTCCTGCATTCGCGCCTCACAGCAGCATCCCCCAGAGCCCTGGGCAGCGGCGACCCCATTTCCCGCTCGCAGGCCCCTGCTCCCCGCACCTGGAAGCCCGGGGCCGTGACAGTGAGGGAGCAGCGGCCGTCCGCGATGAGGTCGCCCGTGTGGGGCGACAGCGTCGACGTCGCCAGAATGGGCCGGCCCTGCGGCGGCAGGGCGCCCGGGGTGGGTCCGGGTGCAGAATCTTGGGTCGGGGCGTGCAACTCGGCGCACGCATACAGGCGTGCTTGCGTATGCAATTATAGTAATTCATGATGCTGAGGGAACGGACGGATTGAATTGCGTCGAGGCGCGGGGCCGGCTCGAGGGCTGGCAGCGGAGGTCGGGCTCTGCCGAAGCAGGGGCTGCGATGCCCCTGTGTGCGGCGCCCCGCAGCCCCTGCGATGCGGCGCCGTAATCATTATCAGGGGAGCGCACACCTCGGCATCGACGGCAAACTCCACCACTGAGCCGAACGGGAAGCCGTCGAACGCCGCCGCGGCGGACTTAGTTGAGAGCACCGCGGACCTGGGGCCCAAGAGGCCGGGGCGCAAAGGTGGGGCCGCTGGTCGTTTCAGGGTGCAGGGCGCAGGATTCAGGGTGCGGGTAGGGAGAGGACACGCCGATTCAAGGTGCTCCAGCCAGCTGCGCACCCTGACCAGACCAGTGGCGCCGCAATGCAGGGGGCTCCTTGACTGGACTCCCCTTCCTCCGAAATGAGCGTGCCCCCATATCCCCCTTTGTCCCCAAACCCTGATTTGCGTTGCAGGGATCAGTTTCAGGACTTATATTAGCACCAAAAATTCCGTTTTAAACGCCAAATGAGCTCGGTGGTGGGGTCGAGCAGGCACTTGCTGACCTGGCGAGCGAGAACAGCGTGCGTGCCTCGTCAGCCACGGTCGGGCGCGCCGCAGTCCGCTGGTGCTCCTGGAATCGAGCTATCTCGGCGTCAGGCTCGGCAGAGTACACCTGGGGCACCTGCGGGGAAGCTGCCGCCACTGAAGTGACAGCAGGCAGCATCACCAGTGCGCGGGACGCAAAGGGGTCAGTGGGGTCTCATCAGCACTAAGGCACTCAAAAACAGGGTTCAATGTGGCTGCTGCTTGGGCACAGTCCAACTTTGTCAAAGCTGCAATCGCTGGTTGCAGCTTTGACTTTGGAGTCCATTAAGGCAAGAAACCCGCGCCTGAGTCCCGCCCGGTGCACCCGAACGCACTGGATACAGACAGGCGCCGCCGCGCCGCCACCGAGGCCACTGCTGCCGCCGCACGCGCTCCCAGCGCAGGGCGTGGCCCCAAGAGTATCAAGCCGCCTGTGCGACGTGTGCAGGCGAAGACACAGCGGCGAAGCAGGTGCGAATGGGGCTGTGTGAGGGTGTGGACTGATCCCAGGCGGGTCCTGCCACGGGAGCGGGCGCCGCTGCCTTGGTGGCTCCCTCACGCGGTTGGCACGCCACCTCCCTGCCATGCTGCTTGCACGCGATGCATTCGGAACGGCCGCCTACCCGGCCGTGCAAAGCTGCAGGCGTTGCGCTGCAAAATCTGCGCGTCAGGGGCGCATGGCGTGAGGCGACCGACGGTGGGGAGGGCGGCGTGTCCACTTGCGTCGGTGTCACGCACGCGCCGCAATCACAAGAAGTGGCTGGATCGCTCACATGTTCCCGGGGTCGCATTGCAGCAGTCAGGCTTCCGGCGTTCTCACCTGGGCTGCCATCAAAAAAACAAGGCTCGACTTGCGCAAGTGTGTGGCTGTGATCTAAACACTTATCACCGCCGTTGCAGACACTTCTTCAAGCACTAATATGTAGTTGCGCTGGAATGCGCCGCACGCCGTGGCCAGGCACCTTGCGTCCGATCCACGCAGGCACCGGTTGTCACTCATGCAGCAGACTGGACGCTTCTCAAGCCATGCCTGGCACCGTTAACCAACATCAACGCGTAAATTTGCAAGTGGATGTGTGAGTTTCATGTTGAAAACTTGGAGATCGCGCTTGTCAACGCATTGCTTCGCTCACCCGCAACGCACGGTCTATTCCGGTACTCACCCAGCAGCTTGCATATCTCTGAATCGCTTCACGCCAAGGCCGCGTGTTCAGCGCAGTAGCATTGTCGCGGTACCAGCGCGGCGGGACCCCTCCACTCTCGCAGCCCGCGACGACTAGGCAATCAAGGAGCTGCGCGCGCCCGGAGGACCGCCGCTTGTTCATCCCTACGCCCAAGGCCGCATGAGCGGACAGGGTGGCACCGAGTACAGCAAGTGGGGCTACCCTCCAGTGCCAGCCCCGGGCGCCGATTACGACCCCAGCGCGCCGCCGATGCCGCGAGCGGAGGCGCATGAATACGGCATCCATTCGACTGCCGCCGCCGCAACGCACGCTGCCTCGCACGCCGCGCCGCACGCCGAGGTGCTGACACGGCCGTCCACGCCGCCGCCGCCTGCCAAGCAAGAGCGGGCTTGGGGTCTGTTTGGGAAGCAGCCAGCGGCCCCGCAGGCGCATCATCATGATCCGCAGCAGCAGCCCCTGCCCGCGCCGCCGCCGGGGGTCGCAATTGTGGCAGCCCCAAAAATCGAGGCTCAGCCGTGGGTGAGCGACGCACGTGGCCGCCGTACAGCTTGCGGCGGACACGGGCTTGCATGGTGTTGCCTGCTCATTGTTCCTTCGACGACGCTCCCGCATGGTTGCGTGCATCCCGCCTCCCGAGGTTGGGTCGGGCGCACTGCCGAGGCAGGCGGATGCAGCGGCCGTGCCACGCCTCGCGCGGCTGCATTAGGCAGCAGCCCCTCTGCGCCAGCCCCGAGGAAGGGGCCCGGGGCGACCTCCAACCGCGCCCTGCGGCCTTGCTTCTCTGCCTGCCATTGCAGGTCTGCCGCCCAGCAGGCAACGCCAAAATGGCAGCTACTCGCACATCCACCGCCATCGTCGCAACCCGATTTTATGTCTTTCGGCAATCTCTCTCATCAAACCCATCGCATCACTTTGATACACAGCTTGATCACAATCAATCCCAATGTTGCCCCAAATGCCACACAAACAGGTCCGGAAGCTCTGGAGCGGCGTAGCGGCCGGCACCGTCGGCGTCGCACGCGTTGACCTGCGCCGCCCCACGTGAGCCCCTGCCGTCGGCGCACCCATCCACGCCCCGCCCGCCTCCCCGCCGCGCCCTGCCACCGCGCGCCACCCCCAGGGCTGGTGGTTCCTGGTCCTGCCCTTGAGCTCGTAGCCTGCCGGCACACACCGCATTGTGTTCGCACAGCTGTGGTCTGTTTGGATGTTGGCTATCCTTCTCCACACACACACTGTGCACACACGTGAGCTCGCATGCACACGCGCGTGCGCAACACACACGCACACACACATGTACGCGCGCGCAGGTTCCCATGGCCCGAGGAGTACGACGAAGGCAACCTGCTCTTCAAGCGCCGCCACGCCGCGCGCACCCCCCGCCGCGGCCGCCCCCCGACCCGCGCCGCGGCGCAGGCGCACGCGGCGATGGGCATTGCCAATTTGGCGGTCGGCCCATACGACGGCGATCGCGACGGCGACGGCGGCGGCGCGCGGCGGGCGCCGAACGGGGCGCGGCTGAAGGTGATGCGGTGCGTGCACCTCAAGAACCCCGAGCAGCGGCGGCCCCTGGTGGACTTTGGGGTGGGGCTGTCTGTAGATCTCGATCGGCAGGTGAGAGGACAGGACCGGAGCCGAGGGGTAAGGCTGTGCGGTCGGAGAGGGGGGGGGTGTTTGCACACCAGGCGGTGAGCGGGCTTGTTTCTGATTTGCAGGGGCGCCGACAGCGACGGGGCCGCCAGATGCAAACATGTGTTGTATGTGTAGATGAGATCCCCCCGGCGCGCCGGCTCTTCCTGTCGTGCATCCCAGCGTGCACTTTTCCAGGCCCAACCCCCCTTTTTGTGTCGTCGTGCGGCGACGCCCCATTGATGTTCGTCGCAGGCCCTCCAGGGCGTGTGCCGCCTCAAATTTTCGGACCTCCTCTCCATAAAGCTGGCGCCGCAGCCGGCGCTCAAGCTGGCGGCCTCCTGGGGGCTGGCCAACACGGGCATGGCGCTCAGGCTGAGGTGAGGGTGTGTGCAGGGGGCAGGGGCGGGGGTCGGATGTTGTTGATTTTCAAGGGAGCCGCCCCGCTTGGAGAGCCTAGAGGGCATTGCTGGATTTGTGGGGACCGTTTCAATTTGAAGAGGAGCGGGAGACCGCCCGGACGGCAAGGGGTTTCGTTGTGGGGAGGAGCGGGGACACGGGGCTGGAGCCGTCCGGCAGCCACCGGTTCGCGCCAGCGGTTCGTGCCTGATTGTCCCTGCGCTGCGCCCGGGGATGGCGCGTGTTTGTGGGCCAGCGACTGCAGGCCACGATGAAGCGGCCTGATTTCCCGCATCCACACATGCGTGTCTTGCCACGCAGGTACGAGTGCCCTCTGAACCACCTGCACGAGTGCTGGCGCCCGCCGGCGCGGCTAATGCTGAGGTGCGCTGCCAGCCGCTTACAAGAGTGCAGCCTCCCCGGCTGCGCCCCGTGGCGCTCGGTGCCCAACCCCCCTGCGCCGCGCGCGCACGGCACCCAGCTGGCGACGCTCCAGCGACGCAAGTCTTGCGCCGTGCGGCGCGGTGCGGCTTGCAGCCAATGAGCCAGGCGGCGGGCGTGCAGCTTTGCAGGGCAGCAGGGGGCATTGGGTGGCTTGCCCTTGAACTTGCGGCATGTTTTCCTTTGTTGACTCCCTCGTGCGCTTGACTGCCCCTCCCAATCACTTGCACTGTTTGCGCGACAGAATTGACAACCAGATTGGCACTGGTGTCCACCTCAGCCCCTCCGGTGTCGAGTTTGACGAGCGGCGTGTCGCGTTGGGGGACACGACAGAGGTGCGCGATTGGCTGCTGTGCGTGTGCCTGTTGTGATGTGTGCATGTTGTGGTGGTGGTGGTGTGTGTGTGTGTGTGCGCGCGTGTGTGTGCGTGCGTGCGTGTGCGTGCGTGTGCGTGCGTGCGTGTGCGTGCGTGTGCGTGCGTGTGTTTGCGTGTGTTTGCGTGTGTTTGCGTGTGTGTGTGTGTGTGTGTGTGTGTGTGTGGATGTGTGTGTGTGTGTGTGTGTGCGTGTGTGTGCGTGTGCATGCGTGCATGCGTGCTTGGCCGTTCGAACGGTGGCCGTTCCGCTGCTCCCCCTGCATGGATGCATCCGTGCAGCCACGGTTGGCGCCTCGAATCCCGCCCGGCCTGCCCGCCCTGCGCCGCCCACCCAACTCGCTCGCCCGCTGATTCCCCCGCACCCCCCTGCCGCACGCGCCGACCCCGATCGCTGAACCCCATGCGATGCGGCCCCCTCCCCGCAGCTGCGCGCCGGCGCGACCCTGCGGTTCCCGCGGTCGCTGCCAATAGACAGGGACGACCCAGACGCATTCAAGCTGCAGGTCCATCGGCTGAGCCTGAAGGCGCAGTGGTGACGTCGCCGCGCGTCACGCCGCCGCGGGCCTGCCTCAATTTGACGACCGCGGCGCAGCGCGGACGTGGGGGTCAGTTGTGGTCTGCGCCGCGGTGTGTGCAGCGGCGCATTTCGTCGCCCTGGCGCGGCCGCGTGGCTGCGTTTGGTTCTCCACCACCCGTGACGCTGCCGCGGTTGCGCGCGGCGTCAGTGATGCCCTCGGCAAATTTTCGATCGCACGTTGGATGCAAGTCGTTCATTTTCCCCGATGAATGCTCTAGGCTGGGGCTGGGCGTGTGTGATGGCGCTCGCGCCGCGCCGCGCCCTGGGCGACTGGACATGATTACGGCCGGTCTTGGGTGGTTGAGAGGTGCTTGCACTTTGCGGCCCTCGGCGCTTGTAACTGACAATGTGTTGGTGTTTGCGTGGTCGTCCAGAAACAGCATGCAATTATGTGCGTTGCGGAAGGCCTTCCTAGTGCCAGGCGCACCCTCTCACCCTGCATGCTGTAGGGAAGGTCATCCGCAGGCGAGGCGTCACCAAATCGTCGCCGCACAGGTCACAAGCAGGTGTTGGAGACATCGAATAAGCGCTTCATACATTGAGATTGGTCGCCTTACAGCTCCATACGAGCTGAATCTTGGAACACCGGAGCCTCCAACAACACGTCGCGCTCTGGTTCCCGCGTTGAGGCACTCTGTGCTGCCAATCAAATTAAAGAGCATCCACACAAGATGATCTTTGTCCTCCTCAAGTTGGACCCCGCGTCTGCCCAAGAGGCCGCTTGCTAGTCAGGCCAGCCTGTGGCCTCCACTCATCTAGCATCGGAATTCTTTAGCGGATATATCATACGCTTGCTTGCCCCTCTTAGGGAGGTGCAGCTTAGTGTTGGAGACTCTGGCCGCGGAAAAGCGCTTGGCGAGTCTCTAGCGCTCGGGACGCTGGAACCCCTGGAGGCCACCGGCAGCACCGTCGAGGCCGGCCAAGGCCTCTCCTGCGGGGGCAGGCGGCCGGCAATGGCGTCGACGGCAGCGCGCGCCGCCCCGCCGGCGACGCAAGCAGGCGACGCCACGAAGACACCCGTGACGATCATCACGGGCTTCCTAGGCGCCGGCAAGACGACGCTGCTCAACTACATCTTGAAGGCCCGCAACCAGCGGAATATTAGCGTCATCGAGAACGAGTTTGGGGAGGTCAACATTGACAATGAGCTCGGTGGGTGGACTGAAAGGGGCCGCGTGGGCACGCCGTGTGATGGCTGCACGCGCATGCATATATGAGTTCAGCGGCACGCGTGCTGTGCCCGGGGGCGGATCACTCTAGCCACAATGCACAGGGTCGCAGTCGAGCCGCCGTGCGCTGCGGCATCCTCGAGCTCACGCCACGGCTCCGTTGGTGGCAGGAATATAGACCGCGGGCGCGCGCGCGCCCAGCCGTGGCCACCTGCCGCCCGCCGCGGGCGCACAGGCATACAATTTATAAGCACGTATATAGTACAGGGGGATCGCCCTTGTCGGTTGGGGGTGGCGCGGCCAATCTGGCGTTTGCCCTCCCAAACCTCCCACCGGTGACGTCGGGTGTCCCTGGGGGCATCTAAGGCATGCGCGGCGGTTATGGCCTCGCAATGCCGAACACGAAGCATCACACAGTGCTCAGAGCAGCAGGGTGCAAATGGGGGCCGCTGGGGCCGCTGGGGACGGCGGACGCCAGCAATCGAGTGGCGCGTGTCGCACCTGCCAGTCGGCGGCCGACACACACGGCCCGCGCACGCACGCGCACGCAGCGGCAATCGACTGCCCCTGCGGCACTTCCCTCGCACTGTTATGCAAATACCTCGCATGGGGTCCCACACCCCCGCGCTGAGCGCCTGAGGGCGCGCCGCCGGTGCTCGCGCGAGGTGGCGGCGGCCGCGAAACCCCCCACGCGATCTGCCGTGATCTCATCACCCGTGCATCGGATGACGACCCACCCCTGCCCTCCTCGCCCCCCTCCCTTCCCTGCCGATACCTTCCTAAACACCCAACCACTCTGTAAAGCTTACGAAATAGCCCTCAGGTACGGGTTTCGCCCCCAAGATGCAACCAACAAAAATTCCGACGCCCTTGCAATTCCTAATTGCCTTTATTCCCCCAGTTGCCGACAACCTTATCGAGAAGGAGGACCTGGTGTCGCTGGACAATGGCTGCGTCTGCTGCTCCCTGCGCAAGGACGTCGTGAAGGCACTTGCGGAGATTGAGCGCCGCGGCCGCCACAGGAACAAGCGCGTTGACCAGGTGCGCCTGGTCTCCCCCATTGGTGGTGCCTGCGCTCCTCGGCGTCTGTGTTGCAAGTCCGGGGAGCGTGCATATTCATGAGCGAGAGGGAGCGCGTTTGTGCGGCTGGCCCGGCAGGACGCAGAGGGGGGCGTGCGGCTGGTGGTGGCGTGGCAGCACAGCACGCGGAGGTGCCCTTGCTGTGACCTTGTTTGGCGCCGCCTGCACCCAGCAGCCGCCGCCCTCGCACCTGCGCTTACGCCCCGCTGACGGGCCCGCCGCCGCCGCCGCCGCCCTTGCAGGTGATATTGGAGACCACAGGCCTCGCCGACCCCGCCCCCGTGGCGTTCACGTTCTTCGCCAACCCCTGGATCGCCAGCCGCTACCGCCTCGACTCCATCGTCTGCGTGTGCGACACGCGATACGTGCTGCAGGTGCGGGGCAGCTGCCTGGGGGTGCCCAAGCTTTTGTGCAACCCTTGGAAGGCGTGGGGCGCGCATGTACGTGGGCTGTTTTACACGCTTGTACACGTGTGCGCTAAGCAGGGGGTGGGGGGCGCCGACGCAAGCATGGGTTCGCCCTGGCCGCCTCGAGACGGGCGGGACAGGCTCGCACACGAGTGCCCTCGTGTCTGCATCGCCTGTTAAACCGCCCGTTCCCGCCTTCCGGTCTCACCCTTTCCCCGACCGCGCCCCGCCGCGCCGCACCTGCGCATGCGCAGCACCTTGAGACCATCGGCGGCGCCGAGGAGCCCGGCGCAATCAACGAGGCGGCGCAGCAGCTCGCGTTCGCTGACCTCATCCTCCTTAACAAGACGGACCTAGTCAGCGCCGAGCAGCTGGACCGCGTGCGGTCCGTGGTGCGCGATATCAACCAGTCGGCGCGGCAGATCGAGTGCCGGCTGAACCAGGAGGGGGGGCAGCCGCCGCTGGAGGTGCTGCTGGATTCAAACGCGTTCAGTGTGCACAAGGCTCTGAAGGTGCGGGGCGCGGGAGAAAATGAGGGGAAACAGGGAGCGCGCGCGGTGTGCGGGGCTGGCCCGCGGTGCGGAAGCTGGGCGCTGGGCGCGCATGCATGCGGGCGCGGTTGCCGAGGGTCCGCCGAACCAGCCGCGGCGCGAGGGCCCCGCCGGGTGCCCTCGACTCGGGTTCACGTGCCACACACACCACCCCCGTTCCCGGCGTCACCGCCGCCTGACGTGTGCCGATCTGGTGGTGTCTGCTCACCCCTGCAGGTGGACCCCTATTTCCTGGACTCTGACAGCGGATCAGACGTTGGCGATGAGTCAGATGAAGAGGCGACCGCTGAGGGCGGCGGCAGCGAGACAGCGCCAGCGCCCGCGGCGGCGCCTGCGGCAGCACCCGCGGCGGGTCCGCCGCCCCCAGCGGCGGGCGGTGCGGCGGACGCGGGCGGCGGCGGTGTCGCAAAGGGGGCGGAGGCGGGCGTGAGGGTGCGCGCGCCGTCGGCCGGCCTGGGCGCCGAGGATGAGAGCAGCTCGGACGCGACGCAGCTCCAGCTGCAGGCACAGGCGTCGGCGTCAGCAGCAGCAGCAGCGGCGGCGGCGACCGCTGACGAGCAGCAGCGGCGCGGCCAGAAGCGGCCCGCGGCCTGCGCGTCTGGCAGCGCCTCGGGCGCCGCCACCGCAACGGCGGCGCTGCTCGCGGCGCCCGACGCGTCGGCCGTCGCGGCGGCGATCGGCTGCGGCGGCGGCGCGGCGGCGGCGGCGCCCGAGGACTCGGCGCAGCAGCAGGCGGATGAGCGGCGGCCGAAGCGGCGGCGGAAGCACCATCACGACGTCGCCGGCATTGGGAGCATCGGGATCGTCGCCAGGGGGCCGCTGGACGAGTACCGCTTCAACATGTTCATGTGGGTGTGATCTGGGGGCTGCGTGATCTGGAGATCTTTGGGGGTCAGATCCAGGGGTTACCGGACGCAGAGTTTTCCAGGGGAGCGCGGCAGCAGCGCTCCAGGCCACAGTTAGCGCTGCTGCCCTCGGGGTGGCCGCCGCGCCTCGATCCCAGCCGCGCCCCCAGCCTGCGCGCGTCTCCCATGCCTGAATCATCCCTGACGCCCCCCCCCCCCTCCTCCAGGCGCGATCTCCTCACGGAGAAGGCAAAGGACATCTTCCGCTGCAAGGGCGTGCTGGCGGTCCACGTGAGCTCGGGCCCTGCAGCGCGGCCGCTGTCCGCTTGCCTCTGGTCGCACCCCCGCGAGCCCCAACCCTTTGCTTGCCCTGGTGTGTCCCCCCCCCCCCCCCCCCCCCC